TACATAATATGAAGTTACCAAATATGTTCTCAGCCATAGCTACATATAAAAGTCATAACAAATTTAAGCATCATCCTCAGAGCTGCATTTGCCATTCGAATGCGAAGTGCTAACCTTGTCATTTCTCTATCTCCATATGCACATATTTGTTTGTGTGCACATGTGTGAAAATGCACACACACCATTTTAGAAGCACTGCTCATTCCTAGGTAATTTACCATTGTTTAGTTCAATTGCTAAGCAACAGTTGATTAAGTATGACAGAAAAAGAGTATAAGATATCTGCTGCTGTCCTCCCCAGGGAATTTATATCATAGCTATCCTGCTTAGTTGTAAAACATTACTGTCATTTACAGATTGTGTTCACTGAAAGTGAGTAGCACAATTTCCATAAAGTGACAAATACATCCGTGGTCTAACATGGATGCTGTATTGGGGAACAATTGCTAGATCTTACTGAAGCTTGACGACACAATCAACAGATTTGCCTGAAGTAAAGGAACAAAGACCTTCATTTTTTGTGTCAATTTCTGGAGTGATTATCTCTCAAATAAACTCAAATGGAGTTATATTTTGATCTTTCTGGCACAGCTAAACTTCAAAGAATTTCAAAGAAAAACTAATTGGCTTCTAAAAAAATATTTGCTATAGTATTTTTTTTAATATCACCTCTCTTAACAGGAAAAGAGACAATGTTGCAAAAACAGTTATGGAAAACAATTGTTCCAGTATATTGGACAAGCAAACATTTTCTATAATTCTTCACCTTTTGATTTCACTTTCCATGTGTAAACTTACTTAAATTTTCTTCGGAACATTTCTAGAAAAACTGATAAGGTCTGGACATGAGCGTCAGTAAAATAGTCAAAATTGGTCACTTAAGGCCAGCCAGATAGCTCAACAGACTAAAGCACCTGCTTAGGGAGACACAGGGACTGGGGTTCAAGCCCTGGTGTGCTGTGCCAGCCCTGCCCCCGACACGCATGGAAATGGCTATTAAGACTGGGTGTGGTGGCTGCACCTGTAATCCCAGCACTTGGAAGGCTGAAAACAGGAGGATCACTATGAGTCTGATGTGTGTAGAGAGACCCTGCAGACCCTGTACTAAATACATAAAAATTGGCCACTTTGTGTAATAAGCTATAATGTGAAAAGTGTATCCTGGTAATACCTTTGAACTAAAGTCTTCACTTTACTTGTCTTCTGAAAGTCCCTTTTTCCATCTGATGCCTAGTTCCTGCATCTAGTGTAGTTTACATTGCATAATGGTGATATCATTTACAATTTCATCTCTGCACCTGAGCTGCAGGAAGAAAAAAATCCGGATGTGCAAAACACAAAATCATGTGTGAGGAAGGCTAAAGACCAGGACTTGTATTCTGCCCTGGATGTGAGTGCCCCCACTCCAGACTAATAATCTGGCTTCTGGATAGTCTTTGTGTCAGGATTATTCGTGGAAAACACCAAAACATGTGGAACAGGGGACATGAATTTGAAGCTCACCATTGCTCTGTAATAAACACAAGGACTTAAAGTTGTTCCCACTACCTAAGCATAATTTTCATTCTTTATTGACAAAGATTAGTGATGTATGAGCCAGAAGATCCTGCATCCTCGTTCATCTTACTTTCTGTACCCAGCCCTTAGGCTTTTAGGTAAAAGTTTTTAAACCTATGCTCCTTCCTGTCACATAATCAAAGAAAACTCAACAATGTCTTAGGTGAAGATTTAAAATATCATAAATATTTTAGCAGTATGTGATGCCAAGTAAAATCTCAGGATAATATAATAAAAAAGACCATAGATAACAAGAGCAGAGGTGACACCAAAGCTTGCCTATGAGGCCAAACAAATGTTAAGCTTGTCGACTTGCTCTAAATTCCTGAAAGTGTTCTCATCTGGCAAAAGATTTTTTTTTTCTTTTTTCATTTGTGGAGGTGAAAATGAGATGAGATAGGAAGTGTCATGAAAGTTTTTAAAAGTAATTTCAGTACCAGATTCTAGTACCCATTTTTAAAATAAAAATAACTTTAATTAATGCTATTTAACATCCAGCATTTCTGACATCTTCCATCGAAGGAACAAAGGAAATCTTAGCTTGAATAGCTAAAACTCAGAGTATTCATGGTTTTAGTATTTCACACTTTAAGAATTTTGACATAAAAAAGGAATGTACATTAAAATATACTTTCCAGTAAGATTATTCATTATATTTTAAAAGCTGAATAAATAAATTACTTGGACAACCCACTGAAGAAGTAATCATTTTAACTATTTACTAAGAAACACAGTGCTTAGTGCGTATTAAATGAATACAGTTCTCTTTACCTGAGAAGAATAGGAATGACCATCAGAACCACACACAGGGCTGGTGGAGACCATTGGGCACTGATTACAGGCGGGTGATGCGAGAGTTCTCCACTCCTTATGACCCACTCCTGCTTCTTTCATACTGTTCAAAAAGAAAAATAAAAGATAAGCCAGGAAACTTCCATGCTTCCCAAGTGAAAAAATACGTACACGTGCACAAATAAGCACATCTTCTTTCACATAATAGCAGCTCTTTAATATGGATGATAATCTGTAATCTCTGTTCCCATTTGAAGTGCATTAATCTGATTGATAGTCGTTCTTGCTTTGTTCTCACGTCTCTGAGTTTGTTTGCTCCGAAAACAATATATTCCTTTAAATTTTCTGGTAGTCACATACGAGCTGCATTTAGATTTTGCTTTGTGGATTCTTTGGTTTTGACTCCTAGTGATGAAATGAGTCTTCAGTAGCCTTCAAAGCAGCAGCAGTTCTTGTTCAGCACAACAGAGCTCACACGCCTGGCACCATCCGTGGATTAGTTTATCAACAATGTAACAAAAAGTAAAAAGTAGAAATAAAAAACACCTAATACACTTGCTGCTTAAAGACAAGAGCAGGAAAAAAAATTAAAAAATATAAGAGCAGCTTACTTTTAAAGAAAGCAGCAATAAACAATTGTAATTTTCCACATCTACTTGTGTCTTAGCATCAAATTAGTAGGTTTAATGATAACACTCTCTTCTACACTGTAGAAATGTCTCAAAATGTTTATACTGGGCTTTGATCTAAAACAATGAGGGAAAACCCACTGTCTTCTTCCCAAGTTTAAAATAGTTTGTCTCTTAACTTTAATAAACTCCTTTATTTTTCTATTTGTGTGAACAATTTACATAGAGCTAGGAAAAGAGTTAGGAAAGAAGAAAGAAATAGGTAATTGACAGCAAAACATTTAATATTTAGAATAACTCAATAATTGTTCATATTTGTCTATGAAAGAAGGAATTGGATGCACTGTCATGATGAAAGCAGATGTTTTAATAGAAATATGTTTTTCATTAAAAAGTCAAATCTACAAAAACCTGATTTCAAATTATTAATTAGCACTGTAAAAAATTTTAATACAGGAAAACAAATTCAAACATTCTATTTCAAATCTGATAAAATCTGAACAGGAATTAAGATCTTAAGATTCTCCCTTCTCCTCTCTTCTCTTCTCTTCTCTTCTCTTCTCTTCTCTTCTCTTCTCTTCTCTTCTCTCTCTCTCTCTCTCACTCTCACTCTCACTCTCACTCTCATTCTCATGCTCTCTCTCTGCTAAATCTAATTTTTATAAAGTTTTTATGAAGACTTTCAGAGTTCCACAGACATTGTCTTTATTTCCATTTTGTAAAATACACCAAGAGGTCACATTACAACCTTGCTGGGTCTCATAATTCATCTCATAATAGATACACTGGAAAAATCATTATAGTGTTGTTCCTGATTGAATAATTGGCATAGCACAGTGAAAAACCTGAAACATTAGTCTATACCATCTCAACACTGATAAGTTCCAGAAATGCAATAAAGATATAAAGACAATTAGCCCTGTACTTTCAATTTGTGTAATAAAATTAAGACAAAGAATTATGCAACTTTTTGTTTTTCACGTAGATTAGAAGAGGTATTACTGAGTTTGTGTTCCTAATCAAGGAAAATATTTTATCTGAATTTTATTACTTAAGTCATTCTACACACCCACAAGTCATTGACAAGGCACTAACGTGCATCAATTAAAATACACACATACAGACACGAATACCATTTATTTTTGAAAGCAAAGCACTCATATTAAGAAAGCAAAGCCTTTACACATGAAAACTACAACTTAACTAACACCAGAGCATAGTGTTTTACTAGCAGGCTGAAGTGATTCCAAGTAATTCTGATTACTCTTAATATTGCAGGTAGGCCAGACTCAGCCACCAGCATAGAGGTGGGCAGCTCCGCAGGTCACACACATTGCCGATCCTGCACAATGCATGCTTAGCATTGCGAAAGCTCCATTTGTCCATGTGACAGTTCTATCTGTGTTCATCATGGAAAGGATTTTGGCATATCCAGGGTCCTTCTGTCCAAAGGTAACTTATGAGCTAAAATTTGCATGGTTTGGCATCACTAATGCTTCCCCTAGAATCATGCATTCTTCCCAAACTTCTCTATTGAAATACTTTGTTCTTAGAAATACTAGGTTGGACTGGCCAAATAGCTCAGCAGATTAAAGTGCCTGTAAGCAGGCGCAAGGGCTGGGGGTTCAATCCCTGGGCCAGCCATGCCAGCCTCACCCCCGGGGTGCACTGAGACAGCAATTGAAACTGGGCTTGGTGGCATGCACCTGTAACCCCAGCTGTTGGGAGGCTGTAAACAGGTGGATCACTGCAAGTTGGATCTAGTAGTGAGACCTTGAACACCCTGTAGACCCCTCCCTAAAAATAAATAAATAAATATAAAAATTGCAACACTAGGTGGAATAAGTGTAGCTATGATGTATATTTCTTAAAATTTCATTTAATATCTACAATATATGAAAGCATACATTGCATATAAATGGAGTTCATCTTTTATTTTTACTGAATTTTGTAGGGCAGATTTCAGAGAGACTGATGTAGTTTTCAGAGTGGATTATTTCAGGGAAGAATCTTACAGGCCAAGATATACAAAAATAATGCTTAAGAAAGGTAGCTCAGGTTATCACCATGATAACCTGGCAACTGAGAATGGAAAATGACAGGTGAGGAAGTTGGTCTGGAAGAGCATCCTATGCCTATTACTCTGCATACCTCAGACATAGAAAAGGTCTTGTCCATTGGAGGGTAAATCTAATTTTTGTATATACAAGTTAATTTGCTGCTATCTTCCATTATTATCAATAGAATAATAAGTTTTTTCATTAATTTGATATAATACTCAATATGACTAAGAAAAAATAGTAAAATAACTTTTCCAGTAACAATTTTGGAATATACTTTTAGAACTATTTTTTTCTCTCTTTCTTTATGTTGTACTTTAGTGAAGGGTCTACAGTGTGCAGGGTCTCAGTACTAGATCAGACTCATAGTGATCCGCCTGTTTACAGCCTCCCAAAAGCTGGGATAACAGGCATACACCACCATGCCAGTCTCAACTGCTATCTCAGTGTGCCCTGGGGATGGGGCTGGCATAGCAGGCCCAAGGATGGAAGCCCTGGGCCCTGTGCTTGCTTGCAGGTGCTTTAATCCACTGAGCTATTTGGCTGGCCCAGGAGAATGAGCTTTCAGACAATTTTGTTTAAAAAATTTGAGTTGGCACTTTATCTATTTTGTAACAGCATCATGAGAACTTCTTTTGCCCTTGTAAGGCGTTCAAAAAATGCCTTTGTGAGCCCAAGGAAATGCAACATTAGATGATAGAATACAATAAACAGAGTCATGTTCCCCCCTCCCCAGAGTTTTCTTTTCTAATCTTCTAATACAAAGGACTAAGTTCCATACCAATACAACTGTTATTATAATTCTATTTTCTGGAAAATTAAAAAACAAAGAAGAATCTATACTATTTCAAAGATTCCTTTACCTGACTCTTTGTCAGGGAGCCCAGTTACATTATCTCCTCATTGTCTGAAGTAGTACCATTGTTTCTGATTCACTTTTTACCTTAGTATACATTATCCTCTCATCTTCAGTACAAATTTTTAACATCAGTCTCATAAGAGAAACTTAGAATTTCTAAGTTCTCTGACAACTGTGATTTAAATCACTGCTGCATCTACTCAATAAAGTCTAATGTTCAGTTTGCCTAATTGTGTTAGGTGTCTTAACAGTATAATGTGAATTAAACTTCCATGTTTTGGGGTGTACATCAATTTTGGAAAGAGGATGGATGATGTTACAAAATTAATTAATAAGGAAAACAACTAAGTCAATTTGATTTATTTTACATTTGACCATGTCATTAATCAGTTTTGACAAGTCAGTAACTTCTTGGCTTCTTAATTTCTTCACTTGTTCAATGATAGGCTTCATCATTATGGTTCATTTCATGCCAAGCAAGCCATGAATCTATCAATCAATAAAATTACATATGAAAACATTCAACAGAAGTAGAGTCCTAGATGGGCATATTGGTCATATGTTATGTTTTTAGAACTTGACTTAGGGTTACCAAGTGGCTTGAGTACACTGTTATGGGGTGAAGAATGAATTTGAGAGGGGCAAGAAATTACCAAGAAACTCAAGCTATAAGGTTTGGCCATTAACATGTATCAGGACACAGAATTCTGTCATGTGATATCAGAGAAGTGAGAAAATAAAACACGATCTTATTTATTTTATATTATTTAAAAATTATTTATCTATTAATTAATTTATTTGATACAGGGTCTTGTTATACAGCTTGGACTCATAGTGATCCTTCTGTCTCAGCCCCTCCAGTGGTGGGATTACATGCATGCACCACCTCGCCTGGTTTAGGTGGCCAGTACAGCACGCCCAGTGGTTCAGGCCAAGCATGGCACGCAGTACTGGGGATTGAACCTGGGTCCTTGTGCTTGGCAGGCAGGCACTTAGATCGCTGAGCTATCTCTCTAGCCTACATGGTGCTATTTAAAGAAAATGATTTTGATAAAAGTACAGTTAAAATTTGATATTTGTACTGAAGTTGTGGCACATGAATAAATTGTAAGGAATATTACAGAATAAATGAATATTTATTTTTCTAAAACCTTGTAGTTCATGAATTTGGCTCCATCTATCAGACATTCTCAATTCTCAAGGCCTTAAAATGCAAACGCAACAAATACCCAATCATATATTAGACATTCAACTTAATAGGGAACCATTGGTTTCTATGTTAATTTTCAGGCTTGCAGAGATTGTTTTTCTCTATATGTAATATAGAGAAAATATAAAATATAAAATATAAAATATTTTATAAATATATATATATTTTTTTTTTTCTCAGAACTGCTTCAGCAACAACAAAAAAAGCATTATTTTCAGGGCTAGGGAGATAGCTCAGTAGAACAAGCGCTTGCCTAGCAATCCCCAGAGTTCAATCCCCAGTTCTGAAAAAAAAATTCATTTAATAAAACAATATGCAAGTTTAGAGGGTCACAATGTGATATCA